CACAAACTAGGGAGAGGGAAATCAGGCGACGAACAGTGGTGATAGTTGTTAGATAATAGCTTCTAGACTACCATTCGAGACGCATTGATATTATTTTGGTTCTTGAGTTTTGTGACAAAGAATGTTATTAAAGGTAAAGTAAAAGTTTTCTCATTATTTAACTAATGTTAATTTAATCATATTATTTTGTTTTCTTGTTGTAATTCTGTTTTAAAGCTTTTCCTTATTCATTTGATCTGACAAAGACAATATATAACATGTGTATGCATTTAATTTAATCTATTTATGCTGTAAATAATTTCAGTTTAAAAGTAATCTAAATAAAATCGTTTACTGTTCCTTCGTGCCGATGTTTGTGGTTTGTGAGAATAAGAGCCTTGTTGAGTGTACTAACAATTTTCGACCTTGCATGGGCGAATATCTTAGCTCGCAAAAGGGGCAAAACAAAACAATAAATAAAATAATTCATAGAATAACTTACAATTTATTAAATTATAAGATATTGGCACCAAACCTTCAACTTTAGCGTCGATTCCGCAACAAGGGACTTCGTACCTACGGATGGGGACCCGTTAAACTAACAAAAAACTCTTCAGTTTTGAACGATATAAATGTGGCATATTTTGAATGTATTAAACTATTAGGTATGAGGACAGTTTCTTTATTATTTCTCTTTTATTAAAGTTCAGGACAGCATAGTTAGATTCTCTGGAATAGTGATCATGGTTTTCTCTACGGTGCTCTTTGGCTTGTGAATTCCAAGCAGAGTACGGCACTCCTTTCATTTCATTTAATAAAATAAGTAGGGCTATTTACAAATTTAGCGTTTTATTTACGTAACCTATTCTCCTCAAATTTCCCAAAATATTGCTTTGTCGAGGCGCATCCGAGGTAATCACTATAAAAAAATATTTAACATAACGTAGGTTCCTTTCTTTCATTTAAATTGTTTGTTATACAGTTGGCTAAAATATTACCTCTTCAACTTTGTTGACGAATTTGGGTTGTTACACTACAATGACAAAGATCAAAATTATGTCGCTATCAGATTTAGGTGTGCACGAAGTACAGTGCAGTCGCTTCCTCGAGACAAGTTCATATGCTATAGACGTCCAGGAATCTTCCAATCAGACCTTCGAATCGATACGATCGATTTATTGTAAGTTTATCACTAAAAACCTAGTAATTATCAATTAGATACATCCATTAGAATGAAAAAACACTACTGGGACATTTTAAACATATTTTGTCCACCTAAAAAAACGGTCGTAAACTTATCCAATTTTATTAAACTTAAAAAGTAACTTTATATCCTAATAACCCCACTAATTTCGGACCATGCTGTCACATAAATATTCCATTTTGCGTCCAAGTTTGGAGTTAGTGATGTAAATTTAATAGCTAAGCCAAGTATTTTAAGGTAGGTAAATGCGAGAAGAATTTTTATGAATTTTTCAGGAAGAAGTTTTACTTATTTTAAGTTACTCCGACAATATTTGCATCGTTTCTGACAAACTTCCTATGCCCTGAAATCTCGAGGAGTTGAAGCTGCACGTGCGAAGATAGAGTTGAGAAAATTTAGTTGAGAATTTGTATTAAATCAGGCATTTTGTGAAAAATGAGTATATTACTAAAAACAGAAATAAATTGACTGAAACGCATATTAATTTATTAACTTACTAGCGTGTACCAGCGACTTCGTTCGCGTCGAATTAATCAATTGTAATGGTGATGATAAAGCAAAGCAAGAATTTCCATTAACATACAAACTGGATAAAATTTTCTCACATTTATGTCAGCATGAGAAGGGGGGTAGTTTCATCTCGTTGAAATTTGACTTTCGAAAAATCCGTTTGCCAAAAATAAGCTTTTTACGTCAAGCAGTTTAAGCAGAATCGTGGTTAAGAAATTATCCAACTTTTTAGAACACCCTGTATGATTTTTTAAAAAATTTCAAAATATGTAAAAAAAAACAAATAAATTATGCTCGTCCAGGAGTTTTCCCGAAAGACTAACCGTTTTTTAAATAACAAATATTGTAATATTTGAGGGGCGTTTTCACCCTCTTGGAATTTGAGATTCGAGAAACCCCTCCTTATCGAACCTCTACACCCCACAGTCAATCCGTTTACCAAAAATCAGCTTTAAACGTCAAGCAGTTTAAGCAGAATCGTGATTACTCAATTGTCATATTTTATGAAACAACCCTTATAAATTTATAAGAAATCTTAAAATATGTAAAACAACAAAATAAAATATACGTGTTTAAGAGTTTTTTCCGAAAAACTCACCGGTTTTTAAATACAGAATATTTTAATATTTAAGGGATAGTTTCACCCTCTTAGAAATCGAGTTTCGAAAAATCCTTTCTTATCGAACCTCTACACCCTAAAGTCAATCTGTTTTCCAAAAATCAGCTTTTTACGTCAAGCGCTTTAAGCTGATCGTGATTAATCAATGACCAGATTTTTCGAAACACCCTGTATACATTTTTAAAAAATCTTAAAATATGTAAAAAAAAACAAAATAAAATATACGTGTTTAAGCGTTTTTTTCGGAAACTTGACCGTTTTTTAAATAAAAAATATTGTAATATTTAAGGGGTGGTTTCACCCCCTTGGAACTGGAATTTCGAAAAATCCCTTCTTATCGAACCTCTACACCCTAGAATCAACCTGTATGCCAAAATTGAGCTTCTTACGTTGAGAGGATTTTATATATTAGTATAGATTGAAATAAAAAACAATAGTTTAGTATTATATTTAAAAAAAATACTACCTTTTAGAGTACACAGTCTTGCTTACTGTAGTAAGGTCTAAGAAGTTTGAAACTTTTTAAAAGACAAAGAGGCTTTCGGCAAGCGTATAAAATACTTTCTAGCATAAAACTATGTCCTCACTTTAGAAAGGTGTTTGGTACAAATGTATATTTGTCTCCCATTTATAGTGTCTCCGGTAGCAAGAAAAAAAAAGCTAACATATAGGAACAAATAAAAAGAAAGGAAAGGGTATATGAAGAGAGGTCCCAAGGTAACGACAAGTATAAATTCAACAAATAGCACACATAAAAAACTTTCTTTTGGCAAACTTGCTGCCAGTAAATATTTTAGGGCGTTTTTTTTCGACGAAAATCGTGTCTGTCTTTTACTTTTTTTCAATTTGAAACTCAAGGGAAGTAAATTATTATTGTAAATAATAAAAAGAGGCTTCAATGTTTTGTAGTTAAACGATGGAATAGAATATGAAATATATTTTTCTATTCAGTATTATACAGGGTGGGTCTTAAATAAGTGTAAATATTTTCAGGGCTGGTAGATCTCGATAAAAGAATCATATTTTCTCTTTACCGTTTTTCAAATAAGACCAAAATAAAAGAGGTATTTTACTTTAAAGATTTCAAAAAAAAATGTTTAAATTTTGAGAACTACTGGATCTTTTTTGGGTTCTGAGTTGGGAAAGAAATTCAAAAAATTCCTGTGTTTCTGGAGTCGAAATATACTACCCCTAAAAATATTTGCACTTATTTAAGACTCACCCTGTATTTTCACCTATAAAATTTCTTTCAGGACGAAAAAAATCAAGAGACAAAAATTGTGTAGAAACGAAATAAATTTTTAACTAGTAATTTTGTTTAAAACTCAATTCTACATTTAATTTAACAACTTTTCCTCATAACTTTTAACAAGACGCTTTAATATTATTAAACTTGCGAAGAATTTTCTCTTGAACAGAACTGTTATTAGAAAAGGTCATAAAGCTGGTTAGCTCTAAACGAACGAAAGAACTAACTCTACCTTATGACCCTAGTTCGTTCCAGAAAAGAGACTTCTAACACTTTACGGTTTTTCTTTTACGGGTTGAGATGGTGGCGAGCGAAATGAGTTTACAAGCAGAATATTATTTTATTAACGGCGTTAAAAATGTAGTGAAAACAACAACTTTTTTTATTTATTTGTTTTTTATTCAGCAAAAAAAAAAGTTCTCCTACTCTGGATGCGAGCTTACCAAGGGATAGAAGCAAACAATCTAGCTAAAAAAAATCGGTAAAAAAACTTTTAAGGTAAACGATTTTATCTTATGTGCACTGAAAACTAGAAAATAATAATAACAATTAGGTATTTTGAACTTCTAGTTCAGAAATATTTTAGTACTAGGCAGAATAGCTTTTAGGCATATTAGAATAAAATAAAAACGTGGGGCCCATTAACTATTGCTGTAATACTTTCTTCTATACTAAGTGTGGATTGCATCGACTTACTATAATCGTAACTGGAGATTTTGACAATCAATAACCAGCCGTGGCGGCTTCATCAGCGAACGCCGAGCTCATATACCAAAGTATAAAGATATGCTTTGCCATAGGTAGGATTTCAGAGGGGCCCCACGTTTTTATTTTAGTCTAATATGCCTAAAAGTATTCTGCCTAGTACTAAAATATTTTCTGAACTAGAAGTTCAAAACAACTAATTGTTATTATTATTTTCTAGTTTTCAGTGCACATAAGATAAAACCGTTTAACTTAAAAGTTTTTTACCGATTTTTTATTTTCTAGTTTTTAGTATTTAACGGAAATGCCTACCGAATATTCCTCATTCTATTTAATTCATTTAGTGCATCATTGTTACATGGTTTTTTACCTGATAATTTATTACAATCTAATTCCTCAACACATAGCCCTTCCAGAGACTTGACTCGACTTAGAGCCACGTATGCTTGCCCTTCCTCAAACAATTTTGAGCCCAAATACACTACTGCATGGTCGACTGTGCTGCCCTGCATTTTATAGACGGTGGATGCCCATGACAAAATTAAGGGTAACATCCTTCTTTCAGCCGTACCATAATTGAATTTTGCTGGAAACTGTATGGCTTTCGGGTGTATAACGTGCATGCCGTCTCTGCCAAAGTCAATCCAAACTGATGGTACATCTGTTTCGTACATTTGGGTTCGACGGAACTGAGGCCAAACAATTTCTGTAATGTGGCCTATAGCACCATTTACCAATCCTTTTGTAACGTCAATGTTGGACCGCAACATTAATTTTGCTCCTACAAATATTTCAAGTACTGATGGTAAGCCTCCAGTCTTATTTATATCTGTTGGTATTATATTTGCTAAATTTAAAGTATCTGTATTTCGTGTGGCGTCAATTAATTGGTCCTGTGCTTTAATGGTATAAATTCGAGATCCCTTATTCCGGAACAGATTTAAAACAGCAGCGTTGTGATTGTTTACTTGCTGATTAGTAGTGTATACCCTTAACGCTTTGTCTGTTGCAAACTCATCACTTGGGTTTTGAATAACTCTTTGCATCAAAATACTAAAATGGTTAGCGGTTAGCTCACCTATTCTCAAAGCATTTAATATTTCAATAAAAGTATGGTCCCCTTGCTGACGCATATTCTCCGTCAGCTCACAGAGCGTGAACAAACGCCATAGATGTGTGGCTGGTTGGAGATGATCGGGCTGTTTGAAAACAGGAGCTCCGGAGCGTTTGATTGGAGGCAGTTGTAACAGATCTCCAAAAAGTAAAACGTTTATGCTTCCAAAGAACTCGTCTTCATGATTTTTAAGTTGTCTTAATCGTGCGTCAATCATACACAGCATTTGATAAGATACCATTGAAATTTTGTCAATAATGAGAAACTCTGTCTGCCTCCACTGCTGTCTCATTATTCGCAAATAGTTTCCGGATAAGGGTGACATACCAGTTATTCGTCCATCCTTCTGTACTGGCAACTTTAAGATACTATGTATAGTAGCTCCATTTATCAACCGTGCTGCAACTCCCGTAAGTGCGCATACTTTTACTGCATCCTTCGCACAGCACCTGTTAATTTGGTTTGGTTGTGAAAACGTCTTTCCGACACCAGCACCACCTGTAAAGAATATTTTTTTTATTTATTGTTTCCATGTTGTTGCCACGAGTAATGGACATTTTAACGGTCGACCCCCCCAGAGGTCCAGTAGAGGGGCAAGGCTATAATATACAACAAGAGGCGCCCAATCTTGAGGGGAAAACGCTTGCGACATTACATTTTTAGCCACCCTAATGCCATACAGTCCTCAGCACGTTTTAACCTATTACCTTAACTTGGGTGGTAAAGCTACCGCTAACTACGTAGGTACATCTAATCACCTATTTTTTTTATCTGTCCTTCTAACGTCACACAATCTTGGACACAACTGTTCTGGACACGACTACTCATGCCCTCACCTAATACGCCATTTTGTAACGACGTCCATCTTGGATTTTAAATTTTGTCATAATCACAGTATTCTACTAGTGTAGCCCTTTCATTTGATACCCATATTGAGGGGGTGGTGGAAAATATGAAATCCGCCATTTTGTACCGGCGGCCATTTTAGATTTACAATGTTATTGATATTACTATATTGTATTGTCATCGGAACTAAAGGTGTGTACCAAATTTCAGATCAATCTGACAACAGGAATGTACTTAAATTTCAATTTCTAATTTTGACCCAAATAAACAAACAAATAAATAAATACCGTACGGGCTAAATAAAACCGTTTAAAAAGGAGCTAAAAGTCCACTAAATGGACCTGGAAGACTCCATCCGTAACCTGGATTGGGAATCCTCCAACGGTCTAAGACACTCGAACAAATTTCTCAAGACTTTACGACCGAAAAAAATCAAAAAATTTTCTTGATTTTGGCTTTTTTAACAGGACACTGTGTCCTCAATGAACACCGCACACCTCAGTAGATTGAAGCTAAGAAACAACAACGACTGCATATTCTGTGGGAAAAATGGGGAAACACCAGAACACTTTATCACTGAGTGCGCCTAGACGACAAACATTCGTGTCATTAACCTTGGTACGACTGATATAGGAGATGGAGAACTAACCTGTGTAAAACCGTCTCAGATACCGGCTTTTGTCAAAGCCCTGAGATTGCATGATGAGTTGTAACTCAAGAAAGGGAGACACAAAATGCAAAATGAACTTTCCACAAACATTTTGCAATTTTTTTTTAATTATTGTTAATTTATAATGTTAATGTTCATAATGACGAGGTGGTTTTGGTTATTATTGTTATGTACGATTGAATATGGTTCTTGTGTCGAAGATTGTGCTGAAAAAGTCACTGATTTTGTTGAAGATGCTCGAAATTATGAATATTCGCTTGGTCCTTGAAGAAAAATGGGAAAACAATATATTTTGAGTCTCATTAACAGTATGAACTGACATCTACAAAGAGTTATAACAGCAGGGGGAGGCAATACAAAGTATTAGACTATTTTTACAAGTTTTTTTATTTGTTTGTACACTTGGTTATTTTTTTAATATCCTTAGTTCTGTTAGTGTTACTAATATTTATTAAAACTAAGCCTGTATCGTTACTTTTTAACGTTTTTTTAAATTTTAATATAATAATAATAATAACAGTTTATTTCTGTATAACAATCGTTTACAAATGCTTTAAACATTAAGGACAAAATAATCGTACAGAAACAAACGTTTCCCCACAAAAGTTTCCTTGCTCGTCGGTTTATCCATCCATGCACGAATAATTCTGACCCGTGTATTTGATTTTTGTTTGCTATCCTAATTTAATCCATAACAAAAAAAATTAATAAATAAAATAATCCAAGAACCTATAGATATAATATTACTATTAATGAATTTCCTAGACTATGACTATACTAAAACAAATAAAAACTGAAACAAAAACAAAATCTACATATATCACATTTTAGTTGTTCTTATAGTCCATGAGCAAATTAATCTGAGATTTGGGTGTGCTTTGCAGCCATTAGTTAAGCCCAGCCTTGAATTGCCGTAAAGTGTCAACAATCTTTAGATTTTCTGGTAGATGAATACTCGTGGTGCAATAAATGATATAGAGTTCTAATCAGTGTAGATATGACATTACGACAATAGTCACCAAAACCAAAGAACACTTTAAACGTGACAAAAAATTCTCCTTTGCGTTTTATTTAAAAATATTTCTTTATAAAAGCAAAGAGTTGAGATTGCACTTTTGAAGAGAGCTGCACAAGGGCAATAAAACGCGAACAAAAACAACGAATAAAGGACAGAAGAGATAGAAAACGTTTGGATACCTTAACAATACGGTAGAACGAGCAGTAAAAGAGAAGATAGGGCGTGATCTGGCTCCTAATACGACTGATCAGGTTTCAACTTTCGTTTCGCCCTGGCGATCGAACGGAAACTTTTACGAGTCAACTCGACAGCAAGGGGAATAATTGAATAATATTAGGCAAACCTAATTAAGCCCGAAAGATATGGGGAAGTATCGAAGAAAGTTTTAGACATTTTTTTTCATAATTGAAAAAATTGTGAGAGACATTTTCTGATTAAAATATGACACGATATTTTTTGGCACACCCAGTCTAGTTTTACTGCAACTTTACTATTATTGATTTTTCTTTAAAGAGAAAATTGCAAGTATCCAATCCCTCGTTACCAAAATTGTATGCGTTGCCAAAAATTCATAAACCGGACAAGTATATGCGCCCAATTGTTTCGGCTGTAGGTTCTCCGACTTATTTGGCAAAATGGTTATCAAGGGAGTTCGAAAATTTACCTAATCATGAACCTTCTTTCTCAGTTAAAAATAATATTGAATTTATTAACAAAATTAAAAATATAACATTGCATGAAAGTGAAATTTTGGTCTCCTTTGATGTATCTTCGTTGTTCCCAAGTGTTCCAATTCCACATATTTTAGGCTACTTGAAGGAATTACTGAACGCAAATGGTCTCGACAACAAAACTGTGATTGAATGTATTGAGCTTACATCGTTATGTATGAAACAAAATTGTTTTCAATTTAATAACAACTTTTTTGAACAGCGGGAAGGTACAGCAATGGGTAATCCATTGTCTCCATTTTTGGCTAATTTATTCATGAGCAGGTTTGAAGTGGAGGCTATGAATCAGTTTGAGTATTTTCCAAGAGTATGGTTTAGGTATTTGGATGATATTTTTGCTGTTTTTGACACACATTCAGACCCCATAGATAATTTTATTTCTAAGTTAAATAATCGTTTTGCTTCCATTAAATTTACACATGAAATTGAGAACAACGACAGATTACTATTTCTAGATGTATTAGTTATTGCTAATAATTGCCTGTAGTTATTCTGTAGAATATTATTCTGTAGAATATTAGTTTTTGAATTTTATTTACATCAACTTAATACATAACATAACCTAAATGCTTTATTTAATTATAATATTATATTTGTCTATGCGGATAAAAATTAAACATTTACAATAATTATATGTATATACCCATTGATTATTATTTTAGCGTTAATATACCTAAATTTCAGATATATAAATAAATACATTAAATATATAGTTATTGATAAAAAAATATTAATAAACTTAATGATGAAAATGTTATTGGTACTTTTTAGAGATATATGTTTTTTTTTCATAAATAAAAAAACCTGTAACACAAAAACAAACCTCTATAAAATTATAAACATATTTTTCAAACATAGCTTACACCTTTTTGGAGGGTATATTTCATTAAATATGGGTTGGTGTATAGTTATAGTGTAGCCTTTCTCACATATTTAGATACTCTCTTTGCAGTTGGGCCCATTATTTTCTATTGGTGGCTATGCGTGCCCAAGTTACCCCTGCTAATTTCCTAATATCGTGGTCCCATGTCAGGTTCGGTCTTCTTCTAGGTCTCTTAATTCCTCTTGGCTACCATGCTGTAATTTTTGTGGTCCATCTGTTGTCCGTCCTTCTTGCCAGGAGTCCTGTCCATTACCACTTGAGGGATTTGATTCTGTGGATGACATCTATTACCTGGGTCTTTCTTGGTTATTCCCAGCATATTTCGTTCCATTGCGCGTTGTGTGACCTGCAATTTCCTGATAATGTCCGTTTGAAGTGTCCAGGTTTCGCATGCATAGGTCATGACTGGTAGTACCCATTGATCCAATGTTTTCTTCTTTAGATAAAGTGGCATTCTAGAATGAATATGATTAATATGGGTATATTGCCACTGAAATCTAAAATATAACAAAAGAAAATTGTGAAATTCAAGACAAACGTAAACCAGAAGTAAAAAACAAAAAGAACAAAGAAGAACTAATTAAAATGTATATTACTTTATTATGTGATTTGTTAATAAGCTGGCAGAGTAAATGACAGCGAAACAAAAAGAGGGGAAGTAAAGTAAATTAAGACACAGAATGCCTGTGTCTTCAAGAATTAATTCCAAGCGCGATAATGAAGCTTGGCAGTCGCGAAATACAACATAAAATGTAAATTTTGCGTCATTTTCACCTTCTTTTCGGTTAAAGGAATTAGTCGGAAGAGTGTCATAATTGACTGTCTTATATTTCGACCCTTTTTAGCCATTTTGCACCCTCTTGCCGTATGTTTACTTCAAAAAGATGAATATCTTTATCGATTCTCTGTTATATGTACAAATATTTCAGCAAAAATAAAGTTGTAAGTGAAGTCTTGAATGTTCAAATTTTATGGTATAAATCTGCCTTCAGATTTGTACTCTTACACTAGTAAGAGTAAATTATCATTTTGGCGGTCTATTTTACTACAGATAGAGAAAACAGTAAAAAGAAAGTAAAACAGTAAAAACAGTAAAATAGACCGCCAAAATGATAATGCAGGCAGTAATTATCGTACTTACTAA